TTTCTACTTGGTGACAAAAAAAAAGAAGACCAATTATTTACCGTTACTATTCGGCTTTAATATCTTTTAATGCTTATTGGGTTACTTGTGGCGTTCATTTTATTCTTTTTTCAATTTTTTTTGGTTTTTGTTATCATTAAACATAACTTCTGTTTCACAGAAATTTAATATCGTTTAGTATATGTATATTTTGAAGTTAGTTTAATGAAGAAATGCCACTGAAAGCTAGATTTAAGACCACATCAATAGAAAATTTCTTTTCAACTTTCAAATTTTTACATTTAGTTATTGACATTGCTATTGCTGTAACTTTCCTTCATCAATAATTTATGGATCAGTTTTTGCTAAAAACGGTCAGCGGCAATAGTAGCAGGAAAATAGCATTTTGTCAAATAACAATAACTTAACAGTTAAATGAGTGATAAAAGGAGTAAGATGGAAGAAAGGGTAGTATAAAGTACTATTTAGCAACTTATTTAGTTAATAATGCAGAAGAGGGATAAGAGCTGAGAAAAGGCAAGAATTTTTTTTTCATTGCAGTACTGGTAGGCAGAAATATATTATGAAGAAAAACTTTAAGTTATCATCACCATCAGTTATCTTCGTTGTCTTCTTCGTCGCCTTCGTCTCCGTCTATTTTGCCTTCGTTGTTGTCGCCGGTGTCTTCTTCTTCTTCTCGTTCATCCTCTGTTGTTCGGGTTCATTTTTGCACCGCGTCTACGCTTCTTTTCATCTTTCTAATCTAACTGGGTCTTTGGCAAGGCAGCGTAAGGTACGGCCAATACGTATAGCACTACTATTACTGACAATTAACATCTACACAACTACAGTATCCTGCTTTTTTTGATTTCTTTATTCCAGTGGTTTTTTTTGTCTTTCTCTGTCCTTCTTATACATCTAAACTGTTGAGAGTTGCTTCCTCTCCGATACCATTTCACACAATTACCTGTTTATGATTATCGCCCCCAGGTTTTGGAACTAATCTTTGTTGATTTTAATGATGATGATGTTGGTGCAGTGGCTGAGGATGAGCGGGTAACGGTGACAGCTGAAGTACTTCAAGTAATTGCTCTTTTTTGGGCTACTATCAATGCTGTCGTTGTTGTTGTTGTTAATTAAGCAGTGTTCTACTGCTACTTTTTTGGTTACTGGTAAACTTGAAATTCCTTGTTGGTGCGGAGAAGATAAAATAGAAGCAAAGCCAGCAGTTTTTGAAAAAAACTGGTAGGCTTAGCTTTGTTATATCACGCCAGAAGGAAAGAAACGGGAAAGAAAGAAATTTTAAGGTTTTTTCTTTGTTTTTTCTTAAAATAATCTTCTAAAATTTTACGGACCCAGAAAAATTTTTTTTTGTTTTTCGTTCTCTTTTTTTCTTTATCGAGCAGCTATATGCAATACAATATGTTCAAAAAAAACCTTTTTTTATTTTGTTGACGTTTATAAATTCTTATTTTTATCATAAAAAATACTTTATGTAAATAAGTACTTTTGGATAAAAAGGAGTTCAGAATCAAAGTTTTATGTTTTTAAAAGCGCTTTGTTTTTTTTGTTTTTTATGGAAACAAAAATCTTTGTGAAAATAACGCAAAAAAAAAACTGGTATACTGAAAAAGAAAATGCAGTGATAAAGATTTATTTTGGTATTGCTGTTGTTTTCTTCGTTTTTAATCGCTTACTGCTTAAGAAAATCGCAAATTTGAAACTAAACTGAAAATGATTGAACGAGTTTGTTGTATCGGGTACTTTTAGCTGATTATATATCTCAAATTGCAGTAAAATACGAACCAGAATAACTTGGATTAGGAAAGGATCGTTTAGGGTTATCCACCGAAAATAGCAACTTTCTTCCATGGTTTCATTACAGATCACATTTCATTCGGAACTTTTGCTTTTTTTTCATCTTTATTCGACCAACAGCTGTATCGGGAACCACTTTTTGCTTGTCTTTTTTTTTTTTATTTTTTTCAACAGTATACTGGAAAACAAATTTTTCTGATTTTTTTTTATTTTTTCAAATATTTTGTTTCCATCTGAGCTTTGACAAATTTATCATTATGTTAAAGCTCAATGAAGCGCTAGTAGAAATTTGTTGCTTTAGTTTGATATTGGTTTCAACTTTTATTTCCGTTTTCTAGCCCAAACTTGCTTTAAGAAACTGTTATTGCATCAGTGAAGAAGAGGAACTTAACAAATTGTTTTCAAAGTAGAATATTTCTACAACTTTCTTTTATAATTTTTTTCGTCGTTACTGTTGTCGTCATTATTAGTGTCGTCATTTTTATTTTATTGCTATTGTCATTACTATTATTATAACTGTTGTTGTTAGTATCATTATTACTGTTACTATTATTTCCTTTCACTGTTTTTGGTTTAATATATTACCAATTTCTACAGAAATCAAAGTTATAAAAAAAAAAAAACATGAGAGAAAATAAAAAAACTAAACAGTTTTTTTTTTTTTTTTAAGTTCAAAGATGTTCGTTTT